TCCGCATAGCTAGCGCCGCCTGCTATCAGATCCGCGTTGCTAACGTTCGTGTCGGTCGCCTCGCTGGTCGTGACGTGGTTTTGATTGCTTCGAGAATGCGTTTCGATGACGTTAAGCGCCACCGTTTGTGACACCTGCCTCGATATGCGTGTGGCATCTGAAAAAGTAACGCCAAATTCTATGTAAACAGTCGACTAATTTTAATTTTGTTTGTGGCTTACCCCCAACTGCTGCGGCAGCTGCTGCCTCGGTGCTGCTTATGATACAGAATTCATCGTCACCCGTGTCCCAGGCATCGCTCACCGACTGCTGATAGTCACGAAAGGTGGACACCATGCCGCCACCGTTGCCACGATCACGCTGCACCACAGTCCCGGCGCCCGACTTGCTGTTTGTGTTGTCGAGAAAATCCCGTTTTGGACTGGGCCGTCCGGGCACTGCACGGCCGCTGTTCTTCCAAAACGATGTTGAATTTTTCAAAATGCTTGTTGGTGACTTGGCTCCAATTGCTACACTATGTGTCGCCGCGATTAATTCGCTTGTGTTTGCAGTTGTCGGTGCAATTTTTGATTTTTCTTCAGTTTGCCCTACATTATTGTCCATAATAAATATCGAAGTCCGATGTCAGTGTCAGCGTCATTGCATTTGTAACGGTGTGACCAGCTAGGTGCAAGAAGATAAATATTGCTTTTACCGCATACTGTTTGTTGGATGCGCCTTTAGCAAGTGGGCAGCAATGTCAAAATGGCAAACGTTGCTTTATAAAAAATAAATTTAAAAAAATAATAGCTAAACAACAAAACAAAAATATGACATCTTAAGACTTTATCTTTTGCTTACCTATAACGTATTGATATATATATTGTAGTGATTTTTAGTATTTTTTTTTTTTTTTTGAACTTCTGTTTTATCTAAGTTTTTACGTGTAGCAAACGTATGACATGGGGTGCTATACATTTTACACGTTAATAATAATTAATTTATTAAAAGTCGCCGGTTTGGCACTTCCAGCAATATGACATCAGCGATTTTGCCTCTATTGTCACTTTTCGTGTAATCGTAAGTAACAGGTACATATGTTTATTTATAAACGTGTGCAATTCGGTCACACTGAAATTAAAACAAGTATTATTGTGTGTGATAAGGAGGCAAATTTCATTATTCTTTGTATAATTGCGTACCAAATTATGTGCCTAAAAACCCAGCAGTCGAAATAGTCCCAGCCGAAAGATGCAAAAGCAAGAGCAGATCACAACGCGCCTAAAGCAGATCTTCGACTTATTTCTGCGCGACAACTTTTCCACTACCGACAGTGTTTACTTTGAAAAGCTTATAACGCACCTGCAGGCGAAGGGCAAGTATATAAAATATATGCAACAGGCGGCATTTTTAACTTTATTTGTCCATAGAAAATGCTTTTGTGCTACAGGCGCCCTTCGTCACGGATTGGGTGAACAAATGCCTGACCCTAATCAGCGATGATTTTCATAAAGTGCACCCCAAGGTGATATCTTTTATGCTGAATCTGATCAGCTTTATGACGTCCAATGAGTGGATGGTGCTACGGCTGCGTGAGCTGGATATTATGCATAGGTAATAGCTTACTTACAGCCACAACTTTGTTGACCACATTGTACATTTCAGGGTTGTGTTCTTTATGCAGGCGCAAGAGCGCAACTTTAGTCCCTCAATTAAACTGAGCGGCATACGCGTTATGAAGGCCGTCACCAAATACAGCATGGGTCTGGCATTTCTGCGACTGCAACGGTCCTGGACGCTGCTCATCCACTATAGCAACAACGAGCACACACTGTACGTGGTGCGTGAGGCACGTCAGCTGCTCTACGAGATGCTCTACAAATTCTGCGACAAGATGCATGATGAGGCTGTCACCCTGGAGATACTATCAGAGATTATGAAGCCCATACACGATAATGTATACATAACAGATAATATCAGTGATAATACCAGCGGGGAGGAGGAGCGTATACATGTCAGTGTGGATGATAATGAGCTGCTGCACAAGATTTCTTCAACGGTGGATCTGCTCAGCTACATACTACAGCAGACGCTGATCAGCGAGGAACGTACGAAAATTGTCTCGCTGTTGCGAGAGCACCACAACCTTGACCTAAATATCTGGAAGTTAGTCGAGATGACGCACAATACGTATTACATGGAGAAGATGCTTAGTACACTCTGCAGTTATCACTTTGCTACGCTGGTTCATGAGAAAATACTGAATCCAGATTGTGTAGAGCCTCCGGAGCAGTTCACCGAGTTTGGACTGTCGTTTTTTAATCTCATGAAATTCTGCATACAACGCAGTGATGGAATTACTTTTATCAAAATGGCTGAACTGCATCACATACTGTGGAAGAAGCTGGGCACACGAGTGCCTAAGGAAATCGTCATCCAGGACCAGCGTGTTTCATTTGAAAATCAGTTAATTTGCTTTCACATGATGCCGCTACTCTTCTCCATGAAGTTTGCCATGAAAATGGCCGATGAGTCAAAGAGCGAACTCTTTGATACATACATCATGAAACTCCTTGAAATGTCCTGCGAGCAAACGCTGCGTTTGTGCTATAGCTTGCGCGATGCCTTTATCACACCCGAGGGTCATACCAATGGCGGATTGTTCACACCGGAATTGGCCCGAAAGTGTGTACACAGTATACTCTCACTGGAGCATGTTCTGGACCGCGAGCAAGCTGTCACCGTCTGCCAGGCACTGCTCTATGCATTGCGTGAAGTTGTCGCATTCAATCATACCAGCAATCACAATGAACCAGAGGATTGCCATGGCGCGAGCACCTCCAGTAACTACTCTGATATATATCCACGCGGCTCTGAAGCTATCATCAAGGATCCAAAAGTTTTACATTCAGTTATGGTTGGTCTGCGCACGCTCATCGAGCGCTTTAAGATTACATGGAAGGAATCCGTGGAGACAATTGGTCTGGTCAACTGTTTGGCTTTTGTGCTAGAAAACTGCAACTTGGATCCGACTGTAGGTAGCTCAAAAACCTAAAACAAACCCAGCTTAATATCTCGTTAACTTGCAGTGCACCGTGGAGGCCCTGAAGTTGGTTCAATTGGCTGTGGAGCACTTTTTGTCACCCAATATGGCGCTGCTTGTGGATAACCTACAGGGATCGGCTTTGGTTTGCCTGGGTCCCATTATTGTCAAACGCATGCACGACACCGCTTGGGAAGTGCGTGATTCCGCCTTGGAGCTGACAACATCCATTGCCTGCATCTCCCGCATAAGTAGATGACTTTGCTGCTCTTGCATAACCTAAATTGAATTTATTTTATTTGTTTTGCATATTTTTCAGAGTTTCCCGCATTCCAACAATTTCTTATTGACGGCAAAATGCCACCAATTGTTTATGAAATGGCAAAGCATGATAGCGAACCATATGTGCGCGCATCCGCCTACAAATGTCTATCAAAAATGGTGCCCATCAATGCGTTGTGGGAAAACGGGCTCAGCCAATTGGATTTAGTGGTATAGTATTATAGTGTATATATAATTTGTCACATTAATAACTGTATTTGCATTTTAGGATCATCTGCTGTACGTGCTGTATCGCGAAAATGATGATATTGTACGCGCCGAGGCCATACTAACCTTGTCCAAGATCTACGATCACCGTAAGATACCAAGCAAATATAAGAATACGTTATTCTCAACGCTCAACTATTGTGTCGTGGGCGATCATCACTGGGAGGTGAAGGTGAACGCGCTGTGCTTTTGGCGCATGGAGTTTAATCGTCAGTTCAATAATCAAGGCATGATCGATGGCGCCTTTCCCACCGTCACATTTTCCAAGGAACACAAAAAAATTGTTACACTAACAGGACGTGAGGTGAAGCTGCGTGTAGCGAAAGTCTTGGCGGAGGTGCAGCAATATGGCTACTATGGTATTATACTTAAGTGTCTGCAAGAGGAATATTCCAAGGAGGTGCTAAAGCTGATTGTGAGTGGCATAAAAGCAATGAATGATAAGGTGAATGAATATGACTTTGAAATCATATTAAATAATATTGAAACGCTGACGCCGCCCGTACAAAGTTCAAACTGCAACTTTCCATTTACGCCCGAGGAGCCCATGTCTGTTGAACCCGCCGTGGACGATGCTGCAGTAAATGCGGAGCAGGCAGATGATGTTATCGAATCTATATTGAACGCTCAGGATGTGCAGCTATTGGAAAATACATTTAAAACGCAAATGCATATCAATAATGAGGATACGCCGAAGCGCCATATTGATGAGTTCTATTATAAGCAATTTGCCGTTTCTGTGCGCGTTTGGAAGGAGGAAATCGGTAAATTTGACTTGGATAAGCTTGTGAAACAGCAGGACGAGTGGTTTGATTGCAACGATAATTTGGTTTGTCTGCTGGATGACATACTAAATGCGATAAAACGTGATGATAATATGATTTCCGATTGTTATTAATTAAGTTAAAGCTTTGTAATGCTTAACTTTTAAGCAAAAATTGTTTCAACAAAAATAAATTTATTTTTACATTTACTGGGATTTAAAATTTGGCGCCATTTATGACATCGATATATTGCAGTAATGATGACCCAATGAAATATATTCACATGGCATCGAAAGCATAACAGAGAGCTAACAGCTCAGTTGAGTACAATGCGGCAACAATTTATGTGAATAACATATTGATGGAATAAAATTAAAATTGGTTGGCCTGAGATAATAAAGACATATTTTGAATGCTGGATATGGCGGTATATGATATATTTTGAATTTATCTATCAATAGGAACTTCATAATAAGATTGAGGTTGCTATTGCAATTCATTGCTTATTGTATGCTTCGTCCAGAGTCCGATGTCTTGAATTGCAACCTTGTGCAACACACTTCCATCACTAATTCCAGTATTTTCAGCATGTCATAATCCGGTCACACTCTTTGACAGACTGTTAGTCATGGTGGAAAATTTGAGAAGAGCGTACATATGCGCAAGAATAAGCTAAGAAGAAAAAGTTGAATATTGATTAAAATTTCTGCAAAAAAATATATATATGTAATTATATATTGTAAATGTCTTTAATTTAAGTGATATAAATCAAATATTTGTGTAACGTTTAATATTTTAATACGCGTCGAAGTACAACGAGTGAAGCTAATCGCACACAAAGAAAAACGAGAAGCAAAAGCACCAATTACAATAAAAAAAAATTAACGCAAAAGCAAAACTTTTCTTGTGTGGCACAACTACTGGATTGCGATTGCCCATGGTCGTCGTGTACTTTGCGAAAATAAAACACTAAATTCTAAAGAAAACAACGTTAAGCAAAACCGAATCAGAATCAGTTAAAAGTGTGATTTTTTTGAGCCTTTGTCTGTAAGTGAGAGGAGAAAGCTTTAAGCGGAATCCCTTTAAGCAAACATCCCGTCGCCATTTTGAAAGTGATTTTACATACATACAAATACAAATATATATACGTACACATACACACACATAACCACTAGAGAAAATCGACAACAAAAACAATTCACAATTCCCCCTATAGAATACCTATCACAAAAACAAATTTAATTGAACTGGCAACAGTGAAAACAAGGCAACTCTTAAATATAAATGCAAATAATTTGTAATAATCAGTATAACAAAAGTGGCAAAGAAAAAACCCCCCGTAGCTGCAAAGCAATCAATAACTGCGACACACATACAGTCGTCTTTTTCACTCCCATACTGCGTCACCAAAGCAGCGAGTGTGCGAGCGAGCTAGACTGCAGCAACAACAACAATATTGGTGTGAAAAGGTTTACAACTCAAAGTAAGTCGCAATTGTATTAGTAAATTGTACGCGTGTTGCATATGTTGATTCATTGATACACGTTTGACGTCGTTGCATTGTCGTCAAATTTTATATTAATCTGCAATAAAACTATGTACGTGCGTGTATAGCTGAATAAATGCTCGTTTTTTGTTTACTGTTTTTTTGTTGTTTTTTGACATTATTGAGGTTGCCACAATAACTGTTAGAAAATAACCAACTCGTGTGCTTATTTTGTAAGTGGCAATCATGGACGTAAATAGAACATACACGATATATACACACATACATGCTTATAAAATGCGGGTCGCAGCAAGTTTTAATGCATTAACGCATACGTGTGTGCTGTCGTGTTTTTTTTATGTACATATTTGTCTGCGCACTCGTTACGTTACTTGTTTTTGCTCAACATTCTTGTTTCCGTTTGTTTTTCTTTCCATTTTCACCTACGTCAATGAACAGGACCCGGGACCCCGGCTTGGATGTCAGCTACGACGATAAGGCAAGAGAAAAAAGCACGAGTAAGAGAGAGTTTGGAAAATTAGCGCTAAGAAGGATAGCCTAACAAAACAGAGATAAATCAACAGACTGATAAACAATACATAAAGTTAAACTATATAAAGTATATAACTAAAACTGTACATACAAAACGAGACGCAAACCGAACGCAGCTACAACAACAAGAAGACGAATACAATTAGGAACTACGTGAGCAGCCGCCCGTTATCCGCTACTGTGAGATTGAGCGATAAGAGTAGGAGAAGAAGAGAGTCCGGTAACATCGTCACAGTGCATCAAATAGGCGAGGACAACGGTGACGGAGAGAGGTGAGGAGGAGCACAGGCAGCGACGTAGTAGCAGCTTCGCGTTTGATATCGATAAATAAAAACAAAACAAAAATATTGATTTTAAGTGCGTGTGATATTTAACGTTAAGCATTAATTTAGCGAATAACCAAAAACAAAAAAGGCAAAAAAGCAGAAATTTTAACAAATAATCGAGCGAATAGAGCGAGCGAGAGAGAGAGAGAGAGATAGCGAGAGAGAGAGTAAGAGCGAGAGTGCGCTTTGGGTAAAGCTCAGTTTATATTGAAGAAACAACAGCATCAGCAGCAGTGTTGGAAAAGCTTTTGACAGTGAAAGCAACGGAAAACAAGAAATTACTATGACATACTCGCACAATAGTGTTAGAAACAACATTAAAATGACAACGGCATCAGCAGCAAAGTCCATACGCTTGAAAAAGGGCGCCACAACCCCACCACCGGCAACAACAACAACAGCAACAACAACCACAACATCAATAGAAACCGCAACACCTACGGTAACTGCACATTCCAACAGTATTGCCAGCAGTACAAACTTCAACAATCAGCACTTCCATCAGCAAGCTTTAAGCACATCACCCACCCACTGCGCCCCCACCACGCCCAACAATCGCATGCAGCAGCAGCAGCAACAACAACAACGTCTGCAGAGCCAATCCGCTGGCGCCAATCAGCGTAGCCGCCAGCAGCGTCAGTCGCCGCAGCAGGCCGTCGTAGGCGGCGGTTTCTTCTTTGCGAATAACAGCAGGCGCAATGGCGGCGGCGGCGGTGGTCGCTCGCCTCAGTCGGCGGCGGCAGCAGCAGCAGCAGGAACAACAACAAGCAGCAGCAGCTTGGTGCGCCAATCGCCGGCTACCATTTTGGGCGGCGGCTTCTCGCCGTCTGCTTTTGGCTCGGCACGCAAGCAACGCCGCAGTCCAACAACAACACCTTGCTTTGGTGTGGGCGGCAAAATATCGCCACAGCATCCACTGATACCCACCGCCTTGACGCATTTTGCTGGCAGCAAGTGCTTTGACGCACCGGCACCAACGGCACTGCCCAAGCCGCCGCAGCACTGGACGCTCTCCAAGTCCGAGGAGAAATTGGTGGCCAGCAGTGCTGGTCCCGCCTTGCAGAGCCTGTTGCGCGGCGACAGATGCAGCGCGTCCAAATTGAGCCTAAACGGCGGCGGCGGCGGCGGCTACGTGGTTAAATCATCCAAGCGCAATCTTCTGGATGAATTTGATACGCACAATCTGAAGCTGTTGCTGAACGTGCAGTCCTAACGCAGGAACAACATTTGCAACAACAAACGCAGCGAAATGGCAACCACAATAAACTGAACATGGAGGACCCAAAACACGGATGACCGTCAATGACTGGCAAATAAAAGAGGAAAAAATTAAAGAAAAAAAAATTACAAAAAAAAAAAATCAAAAATATAAAAATTGTAAAAGCTACACTACAAAAAAAAAACCAAAAAAAAAAAAAAAATACAAATCATTTAAACTGAAAATTTGAACTTTTTTAAACTAAAAAACAATAATAAAAAATAAAAAACAAAAACGATGAGTAATGTTTGTGATCTCAAATGTATCATAAAACAGCAACAAAATTGAGAAGCTAAATAAGAAAAAAAAAAAGAAAAAAACAACAAAAAAAACTGCAAAATTTAAAAGGAAAGTAAACAAATGGAAAACAACAACGACAAAAGATACACAACAAAAAAGATGCAAAATTCCCCGTTGGCAACAGCAGCAACAACAACAACAACAACAGCAGCAGCTACACCCAGCAACAAAATTCAGCTTATAACTTCAATATGCAAACTTTGAAAGGCCAATCGACAATTAAACAAAAACAAAACAACAACAACAACAACCTTAACCTACAAACAAAGAAACAAAATAAAAATGATTTACGGACGCTTGGCTAGTAGGAATTTTGTAGAACAGCAAGAGGAGGAGGGCTCTATATGTATGTATAACGGATACAACTTCACACAACTGAACATTGTTTTATAAACGTGATACGCAAATAGACTTGAAAATGTAAATGTAATTAATAAGTAAAATTATAAATTATATAAATATGTATGAGTAATTAAACAAATGACGCTAGAAGCGCATACATAAGTACAGCTTATGTTTACATATATATTCCCCAAGCGGACAACATGTGCAACGTACCTTAAAAAAGAAAGAGAAACTGTTGAGAGATGAGCACACACACACACACACACACACACACACACATACACACACAAACACAGCGAAAGAGTATGGAAAATTAATGAAAATCTAAACAACTATAACATGATGATAATAATAATAATAATACAAATAATGATAATAACACCCACCAAATCACAAAAGACTAATTCAAAAACAAAAAAGAAAAGAAAGAAAGAAAGAGAAAGTAATGAAAGACGACAAACTCAACTCAACGCTGCAAAAGCAGCGCAAAATGCATTCAACTTGCCTAAAACAATTACAACTACAACTAAAGGAGAAATAACTCAACGGCCTCTCTACCTTAAGATATCATATAACACACACACACACACACTCACACTCTAGCGCCAGCCTCTCACGTATTTAGTATGCATAATTTGATATATATATATTTATATATATATATATATGTGTATGTGTTTGTAGCATAACAACTTCCATTAATTTTAGTTTTTAAAACGAGAGTCCACTTCGAAAAAGAAAAGAAAACATTGTAAAATGATTTAAACACAAAAAATGGCTTTAAAATTCTAATTTAAACCTACTTGAATTGTACATATTATAACTGTATAAAAAAATATATCTTAAAAAGTTGCATATGTTATATACAATTTATTTATTTTAGGCCATTTAGCGCGGGCGCAAACATTTTATTTTGAATCGCCAAATAAATTGTATTTGCGCCCCAGCTAAAAACCAAAAATATAAACAATTTCGAAAACTTATTTGAAAAACGAATGTGAAACTTTGTTGCAATTTGCCCCCGATAACACGCTTTATATGTTGGAATGATGATAATATGCTTCGAGTTAGAGAGGATGGTGATAAAACAAAACAAAAATAAACTACTTTCTATGTAAAACTATGCTCATATATTGAAATTAACTTTAAAAACGAAAACAAAAAAAAAAAAGAACACTTGAACCCAGTACCTTATTTTCATTATTAGCATTTAATATTAATTGTTAATAATTAATATGTATGTAAATTATTTAAGTAAAAAGTGCCCAACCTAACCTATGTACCCCCCCCCCCCCCCCCTCCCCCTTTCCAACATTCAACAAGTATCCCAAAGTTATTTGTATTTTGCGTATGAGAAGAACAAGAAAAGAAACTATGAAAAGCAGCGTGAGTTTTGTTGTTAATATATATTTTATTTTTCTTCTTTTTTTTTTACATTTGAATTGGCCTCTTGCGTGATAAGCCAAACGAAAAGAGAGAAAACCCAGCACAATTTGAGTTTTTTTTTTTTTTTTTTGTAAATTTATTGTTTAACCTTTTGCTACAGCTAAATTATACAAAAGAAAATAATATGATGTTAGTTTTTAAGAGTTGAAAAGAAAAGCCAAAAAAGTCATGCACTATCTTTTAGGTTTACTTGAGAGCAAGTTGTCATAGAAATTGGTAGCTTTAAAGCTTGTATTCTTCAAGTTACTATACATACACACACACACACACACACACTCATACTCATACATGTACCATACACACACATGCATATATATGTACACTATACTACTAAGAGTATTTTATCAAGCAAAACGTTTGAGCAGTGCTCAACACTAGCCAACAAACTAAAAGTAAAACACACTCACAACACACATGCATACACACACACACACACACACACACACACATACAGTTGATACGAAGAGGAGAACTTGTCGCGCAGAATTTTGCATTTTTTTAAGAGTGTAAGCTATTAAAATAATAAAAAAAAAACATTTGTTACTGGACGTCAATTTAAGCAAAACGTACATTTGATAAATACATATAAAAAAACCAAAAGCAAAAACAAAACAACATGAGAAACAGAAATACTGTAAAGAAAAACTGTACCCGAACCAAAATGGCGCACATGTGTGCTTGGTTTTTTTTTACTTACCTTCGAGTCGTACGAGCGCAAAACTTTGATAACTTTTTAAATAAAAAATAAACACCAATCAGTACAAATTAATTTCCTTTTTAAAGTTCAGGGGCCTTTAAGAGCCAGCCCCAAAGCAAAGTTTGTCGCACCGCGATTCGAAGCTAAATAAAAAAATAATAAAAAAATATGGAGAAAAAAAAAAACATTTTAAAAATCATTCAAATTTTAATTTTTTATTTAATGACGTTATGAAATGTAACAACACAAACACAAAAATAATTGTATTGGAGTTCGAATATTAATTTTATCATTTTAAGCAGAGATTTGTCGGTCTTACAATATATGTATAATACATATATATATATATATATTTTTAATTTCTTCATTGATCTAATTTACAATTTAATTTGCAATTTTTTGTGATACTTTGCTATATAATTTTAAATCCGGTTTATATATTTACAAATTACATTTAAAAACCAAGTTAAAAAGAAAACCCCAACACACAAACACCGTAAATGGACCACAACTGAAGAAAAGATTTGTCAAGAACGAGTTCAAGAAAATTTGTAAAAGCAATATGGGAATTTTGTTTAAATCAAGTCGAAAAAAAGAAACGAAATGAGAAAAAAGAGAACAACCAACAAAAACAATAGAAAAAAAAATAAAAAAAAATAAATTGTACACGGCTTTCGTAAAGAAATTTATTGAAGCTTTGTATGATTAACAAAAAAAAAAAAAAACTTGAAATTTGTGTTTTTATTTTATTTACACAACAATTTTAACACCCCTCACACAGTTCCCCTCTTATCCTCATGTGTTCCCTTCACACACACACACACACACGCACACAATTGTGTCAGGCTGCGATTTGCAACAAGAAGAAGAAGCAAGAGGGTTGCACGCAATGCACGGCTGTTTTATTTTTGGCATGATGGAACTGAAGATACCCTTGCAGAGATGAACAACGCATCGTTTCGAGCACTGTAAAAGCTCATCTAAGGATAGTTCCCTTGGCCGAATGTCTTCAGCCGTCCAACAATTTGATTCCAGGTCCACTTTCGTGATTTCTATTGTGAAAGGGCACAACTTTTCCAAAGTCCAAAATTATATTACATTGGAATCGTGATTAATTAATTACAAACAAAATTAAACAGCCATAAATTTGGAATTAATCGACTTTTAGACTAAACAAAAAAGTTTTTAAACATGAATTCGTAATCAGGAGTAGAAATATGGAGAACCAAAGTCATATTTGTGCAGTTATTTAATGTGATTCACTATCTGTAAAGCATGATTGTATCTTAAAAAATAAAACTATGTTCATATGTAAATGCTTCATTTAAGACCTGATTAAAGCCACCCCCCACTCAAACCAATAATATTTAACCCATACCCGTATGCGTTTCCTTAAAACCAAACCCCCCAACCCCCAAAACAATGAAACAAAGAGATTGAGAAATTTTCAATGGCCCCCCACACAACAGATAACGGATGCGATGTGGCACGGCACGGCGGAGGTTATGCAGGCATCATTGAATTTGTATTCGGAGGTAAGTGGGTAAAACCCCCTCCACGGCTACCTCCAGCAATACAGTGTCAACAAAATTCAGATAAATACAAAATAAATAAAACTGGTCTACTACGCTCTACTAAATATGCATACGAGCGTACACACATACATATAAACATGACTCATTTCACACGGTTTCTTTAAACTAGTATTAGCTGGCATAGTTATAGGTATGTACATATGTATGTATGTGTGTATAGAAACTTGTGGATACTGCTGGTGGCTTCGCTCGCCTCTTGTGACAAAGGCAGATCAAAAGAAAACACGAAAAGAAACTGTAAACGTGCCTCGCAGCACCTTCAACTCGTCACGAAGAGAAACACAAAGCAGAGAAAGAATTGATGTCTTCGAAGTTGTTTATTAAACGCTGTCGCAAAATAAAAAACTGGATTTGGGCATCATACATACATATGTATGTATGTATATACATATGTGTGTAAAGACACGTGTATGGGCAGACACAAAACATACACACACATTAATGTACATAACATGTGTACAATACATATATTTGTATGTATGTTTCCCATTAATTTCAACATGCGAAATCGTTTCATGCAAAAAACAACGCAGAGAAAAAAAACAAAATTTCATGCTCGGTGGAAATATACACACCCATACATGTGCATGTATGTATGTATATGTATGTATGTATGTGTATGCATACCTTCATACTTTATTTTGCTACATACATATATAAATCGGTATCAGTCAAAGCTCTTCTGACTGATCACTCTCGTTTCCAGATTTCTGTCCTGCTAAGGGACAATTTTTGAAACTGAACATTTTGACCGACTAAAGGATACATATTGTATGTATGTATGTATATGTATGTCCGTGCAAGAAAGTTGTTATTGTACGTAGTACATGTACATAATTTCTATGGCCTTTAGTTCTAGAAAAAACAAAAAATCGAAATAAATTAGATGCGAACAAAAAATCTCTCTTTTAAAAAAATGAGTTATTTTCGTGAGTAAAACACTTTATTGACATACTGTATGTATATGTAAATGCATATTTACATATGTAAATACATATGTATATGCGCTTTAGAAAGTTCAATCTGCTGATGGGCTGACCTACACACATTCGTACAAAAGTACGCGTGGGATCTAAGCTAGTATTGAATGCTTTTTTTATATTGTGCTGATCTCCATGAGTGCGAACTAATTACATTTTTTTATCTACATACATACATACATGCAAACATATGTCTGTATTTAAAAGGATACATGTATATATGGCGTACACTTGTATGTCATTTGAAGCAAACGCGTAAACAACAACTATGTTTTGTTTTTTTGTTTTTGCTGTTATTCTTCGTTTATAGCTCTGCTTGCGATAATTGCAATCAACAAGCAGCCGTGCAGACAAACACAGAAGAACAGGGGGCCGACACACACATGCATACATATGTATGTATGTGTGCATTTGTATTAAGGCATAGCGCGACGTCGCGTTGATGTTGGCTTGCAAATGTCTCGAGCGTGCCCGCCTTCCAACTTATAGCGCCCCCCTCTCGCAGACCATTACGATAGCGAATCCGAGTTCACATATAATCATGCATACATACATACAGACATAGTTGTTTAAAAAAAATATAACTGAAAACAACATGACAAGCGCAAAGCGGTGGTCCGTATTTGTGTCTACGCAATTGGTATCTGTGAGATACGTATGTACATACATTCATACATAAAGGCATACGCACTTACAAAAACACATATTTACAAATTATAGATATGTACGTATGTACGTGCGTCTTTTTATAAGTGCGTATAAGTATAAGCATTAATATACCCCAACACGCGTGCACAAAACGCGCATGTAGACGTCGCTCATTTTTACAAGCTTTGTGCGTTGGTCTCTGACGGCAATACTTACATATGCACATACATATTATACATATACATGCGAGCGTATGTATGTATTTTTGTAGTTGTGCGCCATACGTAAACTCTGAAAAATATAAAAATACATTTTGGAACACATACATATGTATGTACGTACGTATGCCCACGTACAATGCTTTTGTGTATTTTTGTTTATGCGTGTATTTGTTTGTAGGCGCGTATGCCAACGGCTTTTTAAAGCTATGGAATAATTTATTTTTGCTGCGCAATTTCTACTATTGATTTGCCCGTTGCTGTTTTTTTTTTGTTCTCATTTTTGTTTTGTTTGTTATTTTTACTTTTCGCCTCAAATGGCGTTTGCTCTGTTGCTGACGTCGCAGCCGGCGACGCTGCTTGATGCAAATGCATATATGTGTGTGAGTGTATGAGTGCAAACATGCATACATTCACATGTGCATACTAATGTAAAAAACACATACGCTTGTACATACACATATTTTTATGCTCCTGTTGTTTAATTGCACACTTTAACGTTTCTGCAGAAATCAGCTCATATACATGCACATATGTACATACATACATATGTACTTAAAATATCAGACTAGTCAAAACTCAAACTAATTAACATTAGCAGATACAAGAAACACTGAAAAAATGTAATTTGAATTAAACGTTTTTGAAGAAAAGATGAATGTAAAATTTAACTCAAATTTATTTAGATGTACATATGTACATATTTATGTATGTATATTAAAAGTATGTATGTATATTTATTTCCATTTTGATCTGCACCAAAAAAATTACTATACTAAGTACGAAGACTTCTGGGGGCATACGTGACTTGCGGCAAGCCTTAGCAAAACACCATAATATACATATACATATGCATATATACATATACTAATATAGGTGCGTGTGAGTGTGCTTGTGATATACATGCATGTATACATATACATGTATACGCATGCAAGTATATAAATACATACATACATTCATAGATAGGTATAAAATGCTTTTACAGTTTTACTCACGTTTTGATGTGATTCTTATATTCAAAACAAAAGCTTTAAACACACACATACATGTGCATAAGGTTTTATTTATTCATATACACACAGCACATTGCGGGACATCCAAATAGGGGCTGTTCGTTGTTGTCAGATAAAGTGGTAAATTAAAGACTACGTATAACTTACATTTTGTGTCGGAATTTATCTATTTCTATATCTATTTAATTTTTATTGAAGGATGCCACCTACATTTTATATTTGTCTAATTTAACAAGTACGAGGTTCTAGTCGGGAGCTCCCGACTAGGGGATACCCTGAACCCTCTTCTTCCAATATCAAATGCATATAGATATATTCTATTTTAGAAGCTATATGTCAAGTTTGGTGACTCTAGCTCTTATTATTTACCAAAATTTCGCAAAAAACAGGATATCGTTATCGATTTTTATCGATTGCTTGGCAACGGAGTAAGTTATCGATTATCGGAAACAGACTCGATCTGCGCGGGAGCTAGGAGCACCTACATCTAAAACTCTAGCTCTTATAGGTTCTGAGATCCTTGTGTTCATACATGCGGACGGACGGACGGACAGACAGACGGACATGGCTAGATCGACTCGGCTATTGATGCTGATCAAGAATATATACACTATGGGGTCGGAGATGCTTCCTTCTGCCTGTTACATACATTTGGATTTTGCACAAATACAATATACCCTTATACCCATTTTGAATGGGTTCAGGGTGTAAAAATGATACTGTACACAATATTTTCGAAGGATATTAAATTTTTGTTGTTCTCTATATATAAAACTGATAACTGATTGGCGATCAACGGCTAGCCCATACCATAAAAGCTAGAAAGTTACAAGACGGGGTTTTGAGAAATTCCACCCGAATGTGTGCAAAAATCGCGGAATCGTTTGCATGAAATGTTCGGATCGACCTCAAAGATCTTTGTTCAAATTTAGGGGAGGAGGAGGGGTGTTTCACACTATTCGAAAAATTCGTTCCTCCTTGGTGGTAATGGCGTTCAATAATCACGTTTCGTGTTCAAATTCCTTCCAAAGATTTAAAATTATTTTGGTGAAACTTTATGTCTTGTCCGATCAGCTTCATAATCATTTTCAAGGATCTTTGTGAGCATTTCTTTGATACGTTCTTGGGTGGCAAATGCGGTTCAAATGCACCGCAAGACTAACATGGGCTTAAGCAACGGGCAAGGCCGGGCAATACCCGCTAGTATCATATAGATAAGTATATAGATAGACTTTTGATCTCTTTTTTTACTATTCTTAAAATTCTTTTTTTTAATTTAGAGGTATGAAGTATAATCCCAACATGATATACATTTTTAGCTATTTAGTTTCCCACAGCGATGGAACCTCGAATTTCATAGTTTTTTGAAAATCGTGTACGAATGCAATCCACGTGACTTGGGCATCGTCTGGCAGAGAATTGAGCCCTGTTGGCGACCGCCTGACATTCATTCAGTAGAAAAAATCTCTTATCAGTTCTATTGAACTCTCTGTGTGTGGCGTGATAAGCCCAAGTGAATGGTCTGATCAGTCGCGCATCGAACTTGAGAATCCAGTAGAACTTGTTCAAGCTAAGTTGGAAGATGTCTCGAACAATCACAATTGCCACTTGGCTAATCCTTAGCATTGGCGCCCTGGAACCCTGCCAGGTAGGTCTAACTAATCCTAGTTAGTAGCACCTTGTCATATGAGTCTTATTATCCATTAATCCTTAGGCAAATGTTGTGTTTCACTTTTCGCTGGATTTCAATGTGAAGCAGCCCGAAAACTCTTCGGAAACCATTAATAAAACCATCTTGGTGGATCATAATCTGGTGTCGATTCAGGGCAATGAGCTGGGGCCGACCACTGCCTGGTCTGAGCAGGATCAATACAATGAGTTAGCAGTGGAGCTTTTAATGGACACAAAGCGTGTGGTGCAGCAGCTCAACCAGGAGCTGTCACCTCTGGTGGGACGCAGCGATGAACTGGCCGCACGCCTCAAGCAGACCCTGCGCTATGTCAACGATGTGGATGCCAGCCTGGAGAACGGGCATTTTGGCCAGCATGTGGAGCAGTTGCGCAAGTACCTCACGCTGGTGGATACCCTGCAATTGCCGGGCAGAGCAGGTGGTGTGCGCACCCTGGAATTCGTACTGCTCAAGTTGGCGCTGGAGAAACACCAGTTGCTGGCCAAGAATCAGGAGGTTGCCGAGTATCTGCAGCGGGCGGATGCGGCTTGGACAAGATACAAAAGCACACAGGTCGTCGTCTCAGAGGGCTGAGCCCAAAAATATCCCTAAAGATACAACAGTGCTCTTCGGTGTGCCGAAGTTGAAATACCCTTGCAGAAATAGAGCGTTCGAGCGATATATGTATGTGTGTACTTGCTGACTTGGAAGCGTTAATTCCTATTGGACCTCAATCATATAGTCGTTCGATACTGATAAGGTTAAAAGCTAGGTTAGGCTTTAGGTTAAAAGCATATAAAAGCCCATAAGCCCGAGTCTGTTGTTTCTCTGTATTCGATTGATTTGGGCCGACCTGGGCATAAGTCCTGTATGCAGCTGAAATATAGAACTAGGCAAGTTTTAAATCTGATTAACCTATTTGCCTAGCAGATATATGCCGGAATATATATGTATGTAGGTACATACATGTGTATCTATATGGGCTTGAGAAATTCTCGTTCTATGGCTCACACATTTCGTAGCAATATAATAACAGCCTTCTCTGCAAGGGTATATATGTATGTATATACAAATTTAGACTAACTTTAACTGTTGTATATAATCGCGCTTAAGTTCAATCTATAGAATCTAAAGAGCCGAACAAAAGCCGGCTCCTATCAAGTGAAACAATAAGTAAAGGTGGCATTCAGAAAAAGTAAATGCCTCGAAGGGACTTCCTGTCGTTGCATTTCGGTGTTCCACTGCAATGCACGCCATTGCTACAGGTACAAGCCAGAGAGGCATTCATCTGACCTAAATCTCCCCTGGGCCGGTCCCTAGAAAATACGTTACGCACGCTGGGAATACGTTATGAGTGGAGGATTTCAGGTAGCCGTAGACAAAGGCAACGACGCATAAAGTGCCCCGAACAGCTGCCAGACCCGTTGCTAATGTGCACCACCAGAACAGACGGCGCAATAGGGTCCTCTCTTCATCCCTCTGTTCAGAAATTCCCGAAACCTGAGAACACGACGATAAACTCACACATATCCAGATACATATGTGTGCATGCATACACATGTACACATGCACACATGCCTCTGTACATCAGAGCTGTTCACCTAAAATACATATAAGCTAGTTTTAGGATCAAAACGGCTAAATAAGCGGTTTAATTAGACATTATTTTGATATTAGATATCTTTTATAGAAAATCATACGTTTTATGTTTTTGTTTAAATTATACAAACATATATATTTTATTACAAATTGTGTTACAAATATGAAAATAAGTGCGAAAATCCCGCAGTTCGCGCATTTAACAAGCTAGATCTGACGGCAAAATGCGGAATTGCCAACACTTTGGATATGTACACATATTAACACACATACTTACATATAAGTATGCATAGAGCCTTATCTCAAATATGTGATACTCAATCACTTACACATTTTGTGCGCTTGTGTGTGTTCGTGGTTTCCCTTAACGCTCAATTATGCTGTCAATAAGAGCGAAGTACATACAAGTACTCATATGTGTGTGTGTATGTGTGTGTGCTGCATACAAGTCCTGCTGAACGCTTGTTACATGTGTATATGTGTGTATGTAGATACATAAATAACCCGATTGGCCAATGTATGAGTCAAATACAGGTTTATGTCTTCTTATAAGCTAAAACCGATCGAACCGCTTTGGACTACATACATATGTACATATGTATGTACGTATACGAGGGCTGCACATTTTATTTTTATGAAAAAGTTCAGTCAAAAGCGTACAAAAGTTCCCAAAATTCACGAAAAACAGCTTCTGGTATGGAAATTTCACATTAGCTTGGCCGAATTTGGTATTTATCCTTTAAATATATGTATAAGAGTAATCTTGTTCAAAATGGCCCACTATATCATATACATATGTAGCTGTCATAGGAACGATCGTACAAAATTAAGTTCATAAAAGAAAATGGTTTTTGGCTAGTATGAAATTCTATAAATTGTTATTAATTCATAGATTTAAACAAGCAACAAGTGGGAAATATCGATTTTATTAAATATGGTCGTGTGCATTGAACGATAATTATCATTCGATTTGTTCTGTCGAGTTCTTTTATCGTCCTTTTGTACCCTAAACCCATTGAAAATGGGTTAAAATAATATGGGGTTTGTATGAGCGCGTCGATCGCAAAACCTGTAAGAACTAGTGACTTGACAATTTTCACGTTTATGATCATTGATAACTTAACCTGTTTCCTAGTAATCGATAATAATCGATACCGACGGTTCCAACGGTTCGTATTCAATTTATGTAATGCGGCGTTTCATTATGAATTTTAAACAAATAAATGTGACATATTTACTAAATATTTGAAGTAACGGGTAAATTATTTATTTGGTTAATATATTTAATTTTCAGTTTTTGAACAATAAACGAAAATAAATGGTAATGGGATTGCAATGAATGGACATTTAAATAAATGTTATTTCATTCTTTAACTGCATACTCTAACCAATATTTGAATTGACAAAAGTTGAAAGGCCTTGCTAGCTTGGCACATTAAATAAGTTTATCAATATTAAACATCCTACTTTTTATTAAAAGCTTATTTACATTTTCTTAGATTTAATCAAAGATGAATTCATAAGCAACGATCCCTGTTAATAACAGCATTCATCGATAACAAATATCGCGCACAACAGCAACAGCTGCTGCACGACTTTGCAGTGCTCGTGCTGCTTGGCGAATGCCGAACGTAATTTTAAAATCAGTTACGGGTTAAAAAATTTGAAAAAGTTCTATTGGAATCATTTTCAACAGCGATAATGCATGAGTTAATAATTAATAAAAAAATCTGGACCCGACAGCTAGAACTTTACAGATGAAATTCTGAGAGTTTTGCAATTAATGATGAATGATTGATCATAAGAAAATCTCATGCAAGGATGGTATATATAATATGGATATATATTTCTTCATCCGATAATTACCGACACAAAAAGAATGCGTAGAATGTTTCGTTGTAGGTTTTGTGATTAATACATCTGAGTCACATACTATATGTATTAATTGATAAATATTTGTATTTATTTATTGCTAAGCTTAAAACTATAAATTGTTTAGTCAAATTGGGATCATCAGTTTGGCTTAAAGTGGCGAAGTATTTTTAGCACTTCGATTTGAAAGTCCAGTTTTTGATCGCTGCTCATGCGCTGCATATGAGGCTTAATGCTATCAAAAAATGCCTGATCGGGATCAGGATCAGCAGCTGCTGCGGCTGCAGGATGTGCAGCTGAGCTATTTGCGCAGTTGAGCTCTAAGGCATAGGAGCTGCTTGTTTCGCTTTTGGCTGCTGGCGTTGAGGCATCTGTTGTGTAATTTAGGGTATCCAGCACCGAGTGCAGGCCATCCACAGCTAATGTCGCTTCATTATCCTGCGTTGTGCCAGGATTGTCTGAGGCACGTCGCCGCTTATTTGGCGTTCTTAGAATGCGAAATTGCTTGCGTTTTTTTTGTTCCTCCTTTGGCGCCTCCTCGTCCTCCGTTTTGACATCTAACAGAAAGCTGAGCTCCTTTTCGTAGATGTAGGAGGCGCGGCAGACCTCTTCGCCGGTTTGACGCAGCCGATTCACGCGCAAGTAGCTATCGCGCGTGTTTTTCCAGCGTTTTAGCAACGTTTTTGCTGCAAACGAGATTAAAACGTAAACAAACACATATTACATTGTTGTACAGCACTGGCAGAGGTGCCTATGCATAACTTGCCAATTTCTTGCTTTTCCGCGCCGCTGGCCGCTTCAAAATTCTTGCACAGCTGTTGGCCAATTTGCTGCCAGGCCTGATCACGCAGTTCGCGATTGTGAAAATTTTCATGCTCGCGATCCCAAATGATGTGATGTTTTTTCACAGCATCAATAAAATCATACATGGAATACCTAAGATTAATGCCAGCGGTTTTCAACACTTTGTGGTTGCCCATCGCAAAACAATATTCGGCTTCTTAATGCGGTTGGTTGCTTGTGCATGTGTGTGTGTGTGCGTGCGTGTGTGTGTGTGTATATAAAAATGCGCGCGCTAGCAACGTGCTGGCTACAAAAACAGCTAAGAACTAAATGGAAGACGCGTACGAAAACGCTAGCAAAGCGCACGACAGTCGCTACGAGAGTTGCCAGATGGTTGAAGTTAAAATGTTTTATGTGCCTTAAATACTTGTCGTACATCAGATGACAACAAATGTTACAGATAATATTTTTAAGTTTTAAGCGTAAGCGCACACGGATTTTCCTTTATTTGGGTGTATTGACTTGATTATTGATTATCATTATTTATATTTTATGCATCAAGAATGAAAACTTAACAACTTTCCCTAGCACTTCATCATTCAAATTAATATTCACAGATAGGTTTAAAGACGATTGTGAAAATTTTGTGTATTCATGATCCCATGAGCCTTTGCTCCTAAGCTTATTTGCATCATTGATAAAACCAGACACGAAACACAAAACACATGAAAAATTCGAGTCAACAACCTGTGGATTAACGACTAATAAAAGTCTGTGTGATAATGTTTCCTTTTTGTTTATTAGACATAGGTCAGTTATAATATAAATTGTTTAATAAGTGCAACAAAAGAAGCCTGCGTTTTATGACCAGTAATACATGTGAAATTGTGTTAAGTTAAGCGAGAGAAATGCAAGTGAATGTTTGCGAGTTGCGCATTGAGTGTGTGTTGTTGTTTATGTTTAGTGTTGTGTTGTTTTAAACTGTTTCTTTTTTTTTTTAAGTGTATTTTTTATTTTACATGGGCCTGCCCATACCACGACCCATACCCATGCCGCCGCCACCAGCCATGGGCGGCTCGCCGGCCTTCGGGCTCTTTATTGTCTCATCCACAGACAGAATCATGCAAGCGGCCTCTGCGGCAGCGGTGAGTGCATTTATTTTTATTATCGATGGCTCCCACACGCACTGCTCAAAGTTATCGGAAATGTCCTCCTTGGTGATGTCAACGCCAAACCATTGGCCACCTTTAATTAAATGATTCATTATTAATAATGTTGTTTCTAATAATATTCATAAATAGAACATTTTTACTTAAAATAAAAATTAATATATATACTTTAGCTTCACAAATATATCGCAAATATAAATTGTTAAAAAATGTTATGCTTGGCGCGCTCACCTCTAGCAAACAACTACAATTTCCGAC